GGGCCAACCATAGAAATCACGGACATTTTATGTAAGAGCCCCTCAAGGAAATTGGGCAAACCTCTAGAAATTATAAACTTTAGGCTGAGGCATGGGCCTAGGATTGCTCTGATAAGTCCAATAAGGCTTCGTGCCCCTTCTTTCTTCTTCTGTTTTTTTTTTTTTTTTTTAATAAGAGGCCTTGTGTCAATTGATTAAAAATTTGGAAGTTTGGAGCCTCATTTATTAATTTGTATTGTGTTGTGGAGTGTTGTTATTATCAAGTTTAGTCTTTATATAAGATATTAATTAAAATTAATAAAATTATATAAAAATTAATTAAATATTATAAATTTAAATTTTTAAATAAAATGCTTTGTGAAAATGCTCCTTTTTTTTATACTTATGATTAAAATGTCTTTGGACCAAATTTCGTATATTTGAAACTAATCCCTCTCATGTTGATCTTAAAACTAAGGTGTACCCTCACATCAACTTACTACAAAAAAATTAACTTTTTTAAGTATTAACTCCAAAACTTAATTCTAAATTTGACCTATAAAAAAATAAAGTCTAAATTTAATCTATAAAATAATATTTATCTACTAACAAATCTAATTCTTGAAGTTATGAAAAAGGTCAATATAAAGCATTCAACGAAGTCTAGATCTCATAATGTCAAGGTTGTGAGTTCCACTCTTCCATGACAATGGTTTTTTTATTTTTATTTTTTTTTAAGATTTTCCTGAGTTATATATTGTGATTAATATATGTAATTAATTTACTAGTACATACAATTTACATTAAAGGAAAAGAAAAGATTTCAATATAATTGTCATTCCCCTCAACACTATTGCGCGGTCATAACGTAGTTTGCAATTATTGCTTGATGGCATATAGTTGCTTGAGATGAGAGAAAATGAAATATTGATCGAGATATTTTTCCCAGGGATTTCTTGGAAACCAAGGTCTGAAATTAATAGCTAGCTTGATATCCAAAACTTCTATTATTATTTTTTGATATTTATTTAGGCGACTTTCAGTCCGTAATTTCTGCCTATAGAACATGTCTTCTTTTTATAGCAATGTTTTGGTCAATAAGTACATGGTATTAAGATAAAAAAAAAAAAAGAATAAATACATTGTGTAAATTTTAATTAGTTTATGCCAAGTGCTAACACGCAATAATATTTTGGTTAAAAAAATTAGAGGTAATCATTCTTGATCCTTATGAGATTATTATTATTATTCATTTATTTAGGTATAATATGTATATCATGACAT